GCTGCCATCGGGACATTCAGTCAGGGGAGGATAGTGCTGCCTGTGTGGGTCCGTGAGGCGTTATGAAGCTTGTGAGGGCACCAAATAGGGGAGGGTAGAAGAGGGCCTGGACAGAACCCAGGGAGCAGCCACCATTGGGGCTGAATGGGGACAAAGAGCCGAGAAGAGGGCCAGGAAACCCCCCCCCCCCCAAAGGAGAGGCTTTCCAGGAGAATGTGCTGCCATGGCGACAGTAACATGAGGACAGCACAGCCCGTGCGTGGGCCAGGCACTGCTGAGCACAGACAATCCTGTCTCTCTGATACAGTGGCCCTGGGGGGAGGTACACTTATTATCCCTGTTTTATAGACGTGACGAAGTGACTTGGCCAGGGTCACACACTCGTGTGAGTGTCTGAGGCAGATCTGAACTTGGCCCTTCCTGACTCCAGGCCCAATGTGCTTTCTGCTGCACCACTAGCTGCCTAGAAGAAAGCTGTCTGAGTAGTGATGAGGTCAGGAGAAGGGAATGTGAGTGTGGATGGCCTTTTAGAGGAGCCTGGCTGTAACGGCAGAGAGCTGACAGTCTAGTGAGGTCTGGTCATGATGGGATCAGAAGGACCCTCGTTGAAAGGGAGAAGTGGAAAACCTGAGAGAGGAGGGACGACCGTGAAGGTGGAGGGGCCTGGGATCACCACGGCAGAGACGGGGCAGGAGCAGCAAGTGAGGGCTGGAGAAGGGGAAGGGGGAGCCCCCAGCAGTGGCCTCTGGCTTCTCAGTAAACCCTGGGATGGGGTCTTCCCTGGGAGGGTGGGGAGCGGAGCTGGGGAGATTACATAAAGTGAATTTGGGATGGACCCCAGTGTCCTCCTTGTAGGATTTCAGCTCTGTTGCTTCGGCAGCTGCTGGCCCACTTCCCAAAGCTCCAAGCCTGGAGTCAGAAGTCTTGAGTTCAAATCTGCCCTCAAGCACTGTCTAGCTGTGTGACCCTGTGCAGATCACTTCATGCGGTCTGCCTCAGTTTCCTCAACTGTAAAATGGGAACCATGATAGCACCTACCTGCCAGGGTGGTTGTGAGAATCAGATGAGACACGGTTAGCCCACTGCCTCACAGGAGGTAGTATTTGTAAAGCACTCAGCCTACTGCCTGGCTTCCCTCCCTTCCCCTTCTGTTCGACAGCCTGTGAGTAGGAGGATGGTAGGACTGATCGTCCATGATATGATCAGAGAAGTAGGACAAGAGGCCGAGGGATTCCAGAGTCGAATACAGTGAACAGCAGGCAGGTCCCCTGTGCCCAGAGCAGGGTGATGATCTGGGGGAGGCCAGGGCCCAGGCAGTATGGAGAACAGGCTGGGAAAACGGTGGAAGGACGGAAGTTAGGAGCTGATCCAGAAATTTGGGAGTTTGTGATTGTGGAAATCGAACATTTAGACGTTTTACCCAGGGTCACACAGCTAGTAAGTGTGTAAGCCAGGTTTTGAACTCGTGTCTTCCTGACTTGATGTCCAGGACCAGTAGGGAAAGCAAGGCTGAGAGCCCGGGCCTGGCCTCCTTGAGAAGCGAAGGGCCTTAAGCCTCAGAGGAGCATTTCTGCTTCCCATCAGGAGCAGCGTGCCCGGAAACAGGTCCCTTGCCACCCGCTCGGGCAGTCTGTGGACCATGCTGGCGGCCAGGCATGGTGGCAGAGTCCGTGAGTCTGCCAAGAAAGCCTATTCTGCCCAGATGTGAGGTCCAGCCTCCTTGGGCCCCTTCTTCCTTTTCAATCCTCTCGTGGGGAAGGGAACAGGTATTTATTAAGCACCTACTATGTGCTGGCCATTGGAACCTCGCAATAGTCCTGGACGTGTAGGTGCTTTTTTATCTCCATTTCACAGATGAGGAAACTGAGGCAAACAGGTAAAGTGTCCTCATCTGCCAAATGGCAAAGGTGGACCGGCAGCTCTGTCCCACCTCACTAGTCTTCTGAGCTTTAAGGGGAAATTAAGTCATTGGGAGGCAGGGTCAGCTTTTAGTGTTGACATTTGGCATTTGGAAGAAGGGATGTACCTTTTTTTTTTAATTACTGAATTGCTCTAATCTTGGGAGGGCCAGACAGAGCTCTTCAGGCTTGACTTTGTCAGGTTTTGTCCATGGCATCCAGGGCCTTAATGATATTTTAACAGAGTTTTTGTGTGATTTATGTCCCATTATGTCAGTACCATTAGATCATCTTTCTGGGAAGAAAGCTAAAGCTTATTCATCAGAACACTATGGGTTTTTTCAACACCTTAGCACTTGACAACAATGACTAAAGATATGGCAGCATGGATGCACTCCCTTTTCAGTCCCGGGCCACGTAAGCTCATGGCAGAGATAGTCTGAATCAGCATGCTTGGTTTGTCTCCAGAGGAGACAGTGAGCCTGATTTAATAAATTCTTATTTTCAGTATAAGTCAGTGACATGAAACCAGTCTTTCTGATTGGATTAAGTAAGCCTGTTGTTTACTTCCACAGAATTTACACTCAAATTTTCACAATAGTTCATCACAAAAAAACAACCAACCAACCTAAGGCTACATGGACTTGAAGACAAGAAGAGGACTCCTTAAAGATGGTCAGGCCTGGGGCAGCTAGGTGGCGCAGTGGATAGAGTAACGGCCCTGAAGTCAGGAGGACCTGAGTTCAAATCTGGATTCAGACCAAACACCTGACCCTTACTAGCTGTGTGACCCTGGGCAAGCCACTTAACCCCAATTGCCTAGAAAAAAAAAAAGATGGCCAGGCCACCGTCCATCTGTCTGTCCACTACTCACCTCAGAGACTGGGTGCCATGCCTCAAGGGTTTCATTCACCTTGTTAAGCACAAGAACTTTGATTTTCTACAAGTATTGAGGAAGCACCTACTAAGAACCTAGCAGAGGGATGACCCGGGAGTGTCGGAGGAGAAAAGGACCTATGGATAGAGACGTCATGGAGGTGGAAATGGCAAACGCGGACAGCAGGGCAGCTACAGAGGCCCAGGATGGCGCCAGGTTAGAGCCACACCTCCTCAGCTCCCGAGGATCTTATTACCTGCCCTTTGCTGACGATTCTCAGATCGCTTAGCCAGCCCCAACCGTTAGTGCCTCTGTCTCCAGCGGCCTTGCAGATGTCTTAAACTCAGCAGCCCAAAACAGACCTCACGACCTTTTCCCACTGCCACCACAATCTCCCTCCCTCAGGCTCCCAAGCTAGGGCTCATCGCAGCCTCCCTCGCTACACCTTCTCTCTCCGTGAACAAGATGGCACCAAGGCGCGTGGTTCCCCCCGTAACACCTCTTGTCCACATCCCCTCTGCGGTGTGTCCTCTGATGCTGCCCCTTCCCTGGGGGGTCAGCCTGCTTCCAGGCTCTCCCCGCTCACCCACCAAAGTGCAGGTCTAAGTATGTCACCCGCCCCCCCTGGATCGAACTCAGAGTACACATTGGCATTCAGAGCACACACGCACTCTGTGATCTAATGACCCCTAGCCTCCTGGCTGCTCCTCCCGTAAGACCCTCCCCCTCTCAACTCGGCATCTTCCCTGGCTGTCTCCCCTCCTATCTGCACTCCCTCCAGGTCCCAGGTGAGATCCCACCTTCCACGGGAGCTTCTCCTGATCCCTCCTCATCCCTCTGCTGATTATTTCCTGGAGACAGTTTGTAGCGTGTCTCCCCCATTAGACTGTGAGCTTCTCGAGATCAGAGATGGCCTTTCGCCCTTCTTTGTATCCCCAGCGCTTAGCCTGGCATGTAGTAGGTACTTAATAAATGTTGATTGACTCACTGGGACGGTGGTGGTGCCCTTGAAGAGTTTGTGGGGAAAGAGAATTCAATGTGTTGAGTTGGAGATGTCCTTAGGAAGGCAGTTGGTGATGCAAGACAGGATTTCAGGAAAGAGATTAGTGTTGAATATATAGTTCTCAGAGCCTGGGGAAGCTGATGGGATCACCAAATGACATAATACAGACAGGTTCTTACTTTTTTTGTGTCATGGAAACCTTGGGTAGTTAATTTGGTAGAACCTTCTCAGAGTCATGTTTTAAAAACTGAGAGAAAAAAAATAAAAAAACTGAGAGAAAGTTTACATTTTAGTTAGAAAATAGTGAAAATAAAGATGTCATTTTTCCCATCTAAATTCATGGACTCCTTGAAATCTATCCTGGACCCCAGGTTAAGAAGAGAGAAGAGGGAGGGCTCAGGATCGGGCCTTGGGAGACACTGGAAAGGAAAATATAAAATTAAAGTCTGTGTGAGATAATAAACCAGTGCATTTTAAAATGAACCTGGATGGTCATTTCACAGCTTGTGAGGGGGCGCAGGGTCTGACCATAAATGGCACGGTGGAAGGGGTCGCCAGACAGCTCCATGTTCTGTGACCACCTGGGAATCTTCTGGATTGTGTTCCAGGGGGTTCAGAATAAGGTTCTGAGGTCCCAAGGATCGGGGTACGGGGGACCCATGAGCTTGGTGACATTTGGGTTCTCCTTATGCCGACCCTCAGGGTCACCAGGACTTTTCCAGCACAGCGTCAGGCAGGCTGGGAGAGAATGGAGGGTGTGCGCGTGAGCCGGGCCGCCACGGTCAGGACTGGCCAAATCACAGGTGGGGAGAACATCACGTCAACTCTAGATGCTGTTTCCATTCCAGAGCCGAGCTCTGCAAGCCCCGAGGCCTGTGGCATGGAGCTTCTGCCCCTCAGGACAGCTCTGCCCCTGCCTGGCACGGGCCTGGTCAGGGCAGCCACAAGTCAAAGAAGGGAACTTAGCTAAGCCTACATTGTGGCTCTGAGGTCCTTGAAGGCAGGCGCAGGCGTCTTCATCCCTAGCTTTGTATCCCCGGCATCTGCACACAGTAGGCTTTTACTAAGGGTTGCTGGTTCTACGCCTGTGTCCTCAGGCGATGCTCAGGCTGCTTCTGGGCTGCCTGCTTAGGGCTCCAAAAAACAACAAAGTAGGGTATGGAGTGGACAGATGACCACCTAAGTCTTTGTTTTTAATTTTTTGTTTTGTTTTGTTTTAAAGGAATCTGAAAACTTTGCTTATGGAAAAGAATCCCATAAAAACATTGCCTGTGGAACTGGGTAAGCGCTTTCTTTTTAAAATAGAAATTAACTTTGAGCGGATTCTGATGTGATTTAAAAAGTGCCGTCTTAGGGGCAGCTAGGTGGCACAGTGAATAGAGCTCTGGCCTTGGAGTCAGGAGGACCCAAGTTCAAATCCAGCCTCAGACACTTAACACTTACTAGCTGTGTGACCTTGGGCAAGTCACTTAACCCCAATTGCCTCACCAAAAAAAAAAAAGAAAGAAAAAAACATAAAAAAAAAGGGAAAAAGTGCTGTCTTGGAGAATGCCATGCTCCCTCCCCATCGTCCAAGGTCCTCACTGGTGAAAGGACAGCCCTCTGATTTTACAAATGAGTGTGTGGAGACGCAGAGACACAAGTAGGAGAAGGGACCCCCACAGTGTTTTGTCACAGAACACCTGCCTCGGCCCACTCTGCAGAGCTTGATGGGATGAGGCGCTTCCTGATATGAGCCCCAATGGGCCTCGTTGTAGGCTTCCTCCCCATGGCTCTGGCTCTGCCCCCAGGGCCAAACCGAGCCAGACCAGGGGTGTCAGACGTTCAGCCGAGGCAGCTCTGAAACAGATGACTGTTGGGAAATGTTTAACAAAAGGAATAAAGTGAGAGTATAAGCCGCTGTTAACTTGGGGTTTTCTAGGTCACTGTCCTGTCTGTCCTGGGGGACAGCTTCTCAGATATGCCCTCCCCAAGTCTCCTTTTTAGTCTTCACCCTGGAGTTAGGAGCTACAGGGCCTCCAGCACCCTGGGTTTCCGGCCTCAGGACACTCTGTAGCTCCCAGGTGCCCTCCGTACCCAGTGGTGCCCAGGCCTGGTTGGACCTCCCATCGTGGTGGGAGCAGAGTGCTCCAGGAAGCTTGGCCCTCTGAGGTCTGGGACCGCACCCCCTCCCCCAGGTCCAGGGCCACCCCCCCAAGGTCTAAGGCCCCTCCCTGAGGTCCAGGGCTGCCCCCCTCCCTCAAGGTCTAGGGCCCCTCCCAGGTCCAGGGCTCCTCCCAGGTCCAGGGCCACCCCCCTCCTCTGAGGTCTAAGGCCCTTCCCTGAGGTCCAGGGCCCCCCCTCAGGTCCAGGCTCCTCCCCCACGTCCAGGGCCGCTGCAGAGCGAGTTCACCCACAGCACCAGCAGCCCCTCTCGCCTTGGCAAGGTCAGCTTATGGGCATAAGGGAGACTCGACGTTGGCCAGGGCAGGTGGTGCCCGCACACCTCATGGGCAGGCTGAGCCGCTTGGAGCTCTCGGACACGGACACACCACCTTCCTCGAGGGCGCTGCGGAGCACTTCACCAGGGAAGGGTCTGTGACAGGAAGTAGCCCGACAGCGCTGAGCTCAGCTCTGTAGTTGTCATCTCAGCTGAACCCTGCGGTCAGTGCCGTCATGACCCCCATTTTACAGATGAGCAGACTGAGGCAGGTACAAGTCAGAGACCAGATCTGAACTCAGATCCTTTGCATCCCAGGTCCATCCCAGGTCACCTTGGTGTTGCTAAGTGGCCTTGCCTTCTCGTAGTGTATGTCTGTGGGACCTGGCTTGGGGAGAGGTGTGGGGGTTCCTCCTGCCTTCATCCATTCATCTTCACCCCTGGAGTTAGATGTCTCCAGTGCCACCCAAGTACCTTCTTCTCTGTCTGTGCTGATGCATCAGGTCCTTTGCCCTCAACCTTCCAGGCCCATCTTTGAGGCCAGGGTCTCAGAAAGGGTCGTCTTGGGGTCTTCTGCAGCCCTGGCCTTGAGGGGCTGAGGGAAGCTCTGCTCCTGCGTGTCTGTGGTCTGGCCTTCCCGGTGTCCCACACCACCCGCCCCAGGCACCAGGGCCAGACGGGCAGCTGGGCCACCCCTTCCATTGGGATACTAGTCGACAAGCTGGCGGTCATCAGGACATAGCCAATAGAACTTTGTCAGGAAGACACAGCCTTGCTAGTGGGGGGCATGTGGGGGACAAAGGAAGACTAGAGGCCAGCAGCACTAGTGACCCGTGTCCCTGAGACGGAAGGGGATGAAGCACGAGTGACCACTGGTCTTGGTTCTGCCGGTCACCTTGGCCCTGACGGTGCCGGAGACCAGGCCAGGAGCTGGGTGCAGGCTGGCTTGGCCCTCAGACAGCAAGGAGGACAGTGTGCAGGGCTACCCTGGCAGGTCTCAGCTTCCTCACCAGTGAAGTGTGCTTTACAAATGTTGGTACATGTTGCTGTGGTCCTTCCTCCTAGAGAGCAGACTTGGCAGGGGGGCAACGAGGGGCACACAGACACCAACAGCCTTGGCCCTTGTGGGGCACAGGAGGCAGCCTGGAAAGGACCCATGAGTGATGGGGAAGGAGAGTGTGAGCAGATGGAACAAGAGTGGAGTCCTGGGTGCCAGCTCAGTGGCCAGAGAGGCCTTCCCAAGCCTGGGCCGGGGGCAGACCCCCAGGGATCCCAGGCAGTGAGGAGCCCTGGCCCGGGAGTGGTGGGAGTACAGGTGAGCAGGTGGGAGAAAAGATACTTCACAGTCACCATCCGCTTTCGGCCTCAGCCTGGGAGACAGGTACTGCTGCTGTCCCCAGTGTCCCCTACCTAGGAAGTGTCTGAAGCCGTGCTCTGTGCACTGCGGCTGCACGAGAGAAAGCGAGCGTAAGCTCCCTGGGAGCGGAGACGGCTTCATTTTCTGGATCTGTCTCCGGGGCCTCGGGCTTGACTGGTCGTGACCATGGCAGCCTGGGCCATGACGATGCCATGGCAAGAACAGGATGAGGGAGAAAGCAGCGGCCTCAGTGCTGGTCATTTGGGGTTTGAGTTACTGGTGAGATGTCCACGTGGAGGCAGTGCTTGTAAGCGGGGACAGGCTTCGCGAGGGGCGCCAGGAAGGGAAAACCTGCCACAGGGCTGAGGGGTAGCGTGCGGCCCTTAGCGGTCCTGTCACACGCGTCGGGGACACCGCAACCACCAGCCCATCCTCCTCAGCCTCGGCTCACAGGCCAAGGACTGATGGGCCCTCAGAGGCCAGCCGTTCCAATCCCTCACTTTACTGATGAGGAGGCTGAGGTCCAGGGAGATGGCCTCTGACCTTGCTGGCAGCTGAAGTTGTGGGGATGAAGGAGGTGGCCAGGACCTCTAGAGTCAGGAGGAAGGCCTGGGTCAGCCTAGACGGATGTAGGTCCTCCATGCGGACGACCTTCTTCTTGGAGACGTCCTGGACTGGACTCTCTTGAGTGTGGGTAGAGCTGCAGGATGCTGGACCACCGGGGCTCCTTTTCTGACCTTTGGAGGAGGGCTTGACTCCTTCCCATAGGTCAGGTTGTTGAGGGGCTGCACTGCACTGCCCTGCCACGCCCAGTGCACCTGATGGCCCACCACAGTCATGCGCCCAAGGGAAGCTTGGACTTCTTGTGCACATCAGGTGGTCAGGGCAGTCGTGAGCTCTCTGTAAAGGAAATGACCTTTCTACAGACTGCGTCTTGATGTGAAAGGGCAGAGATGGAGCAGGAGAGCATGGGCTGACCTGGACTTAGGATGTCGAGGATTCTGCCTCCAAAAGGATCACGTTTGTTTGAGTTCTCCTCAAGCAGGATGACCGCTGGGTGGTCAGACTAGGAGATTCTCTCATTTAGAGCGCCAATAACCACAGAGCACTCTGGGATGCTTGACCCCTCTGCCTCCGCCATCACTGCAAGAGCATCAGTGGCCGCACAGCACTGAGGGTCATTTTGATTTTATTCTGAGTAGCTGTGGCCAAATCACTCGCTGCTAAATGGCCGGTATACCGGGGATTGGCTTCTCTGGACATAGCTAGGCTGGTTTACCATAAGCAGGTGTGGTCTGTGGCAGGACTGTGACTGAAACCATTCTAGCCAAAAGCCTACCTCAGCGTACGTGCCCCCATCATGGTCTTTGAGAAGCTGGGGCCATCTCTGCCCCATCCAGGAGAGAACCGGTCCAGGGTTCTAGACCTGCTTTCTGTGGGGGTGGGCCACACAGCCTCCTGGGAGAGATCTGGACCCACTGTGATGGCTCAGACCTGACCGTCCACACGGGAAAGTCCCAGTGGATGAAGACGTCTATTACCCAGATCATGAAATGCATTTGGAGACAGAGCCAAGATGGCAGAGGAAAGGCAGGGATTTGCCTGAGCATTCCCCAGAACCCCTCCAGACACCTTTAAATGATGCCCCGAAGCCATCCTGGAGTGGCGGAACCAACAAAAGGCGGGGGTGAAATAATCTTCCATCAAAAACAGTCAGACAAGTGAATGGAAGGAGATTCCGAGGGTCTCTTTGCTGGCACTGAGGCAGGACTGTTGCTTGGCCCATACTTGGATCTGGGTGGCGGTCCTGGGTGAAGAGGAGTGCACCAGAGCTTGTGGCTGCAGGGGAACAGGGACCCTGCTCACAGTTCCAGTGCTTGTGGTCGCTCCCAGACCAGAGCCCAGGCCGGGAGAAGAGTACACACCTCTCCTTAGAGCGTACCCCTTGGAAGAACTGAAAACCTACAGGTCCCTACAAGCATCTCTGCAAACAGCAGCACAAAATCCCTGATGCTTGGGACAGCGTTCCCTCCATCCTGGAAGCGGAGCCCCACTGTAACAAAGAGTTAAAAATCAAGAAAAGAGCTGAAAAATGAGCAAACAACAGAAAAAAATTCTGACCATAGAAAGTTACTGTGGTGACAAGGAAGATCAAAACACACACTCAGAAGAAGACAACAAAGTCAAATCTCCGACCTCCAGACCTCCAAGAAAAAGCATGAATTGGGCTCGGGCCATGGAAGAGCTCAAAAAGGATTTTGAAAATCAAGTAAGAGAGACAGAGAAAAGCTTGGGAAGAGAAATGAGAGTGATGCAAGAAAATCATGAGAAAAGAGTCAACAGCTTGGTAAAGGAGACCCCAAAAAATGCTGAAGAAAATAATACCATAAGAAGCAGAACTGGCCAAGTGGAAAAAGAGGCTTCAAAATTCCCTGAAGAAAGGAAAGGAAGTGCCCTTCAGCGGGAGCCCGCGTGTGGCGGGGGAGATCCTTTGTGCACGGGCTCTGCTGCTGCCCCTCGTCCATGAATGCTCATCGCTTTCCTTTTTGTTTTCCAGGGAACTTAGCGTCGCTGAAAGCCCTGAACTTGCGGAGCTGCCCTCTGGAATTCCCCCCCAAAGATGTCGTCCAGAAAGGCCTGCTGGCCATCCTGGCCTTTCTTCGCAATTGGGCCCAGAGGCAGAGTGCCGTCACCGCTCCACCATGTCAAGGTTGGTCGTGACGCTGGAGGCCTCAGCTTAGGCCTCCTCCCCCCCACCCACCCAGGTCACCACCACTCAAGGAGCCGTCCCTGACCCCCAGACTCACTGGGCCTGCCGCTGGGGGTGTCCTGCTAGGAGGAATTCTCCATTGACATGTAAACTGTCCATCCAGGTGGCAAAGGCGACAAAGGGGAAAAGCAGCCCTTGTGGGCAGGGCTGCCCAGGGGTGGGGCTCTGACTCCTCTGACCATTCTGGAATGCTGCCCCACCCTGACTCAGCCCCGTGGATGGTAGGGCCGTGCCTCAGAAAGGGACCCTGGGCAGAGCAGAGAGGTGGGCACCGAGGAGGCACCCGTCACCCAGGGAGGGTGAACTATAAGAAAGGATGATACAGACATCACAGGCCTCTCTGAGGGTAGGGAGCAGAGCCAGGAGAACAGCGTCTGCCCCCAAAGGGCTCGGGAAGGAGCTCCCCGTCCCCTTCCTCACAGAGTCGTGGATGTGTGGGGGCAGGAGCAGGTGTCCTCTTCTGGGCATGGCTGGGGGGCGGGGTCCTGTGTTTGCTGTCAAAGCTTTGTTCTTTCCTTTTTCTTCTTGTTAAATTGGGGTGTGGGAGATAGTAAAGGGGAATTGATGGTGTTCAGTTGTTTTTCCTTCATGGCTGCATCTGAGATATTCTTGGCAGAGACACTGGAGGGTTGGCCATTTCCTCCTCCAGATCATTTTACAGATGAGGAAACTGAGGCAAGCAGGGTGAAGTGACTGGCCCGGGGTCACACATCTAGGAAGTGTCTGAGGCCAGATTTGAACTCAGGAAGAGGAGTCTTCCTGACTCCAGAGCTGGCGCTCCATCCCTTGTGCCACCTAGATACCCCAGAGGGGCAGCAGAGCAGCACCCCCCCCAAAAAAAAAACAAGAAAGAGGGTCCCAGAAGCATCTGAAAAACTACATGGCAAGGACAAGAAGGACACACAGAAAAGCAGGACAGCTTTGTGTGTTTAAATGCTGACACCCCTGAAAACGAAGCCAACTGCACACGATGGGGCTCCACGGCGTCGTCGGGCGTGACGGCCTCTTTCTCCTGTGCCTTAGAGAGGGAAGTGCTCATTGGGCATGTAAGCCAGGCAAAGCGTTCTTCTCCTTCATGGTTTGCTGTAGAAACGAGGCCTCGTAAGCACGCGTGGCCGGTCCAGGGACGTGGTTGTGGGCCATCGCTAGGTAGATTTAGGAGTGTTTGTGCGCCATCTCGGTGTTCTCGATGTGCAGGATGGGGCTCGTGAGGGACAAAGAAGAACCCTGAGAAATGGTTCTGTGGCCCTGGCAGAAGAAAGCATTTGCTCAGCTCTTTTCAAAACGGCTGAGGGTTAGTCCCTTCAGTCAGTCCATCACCAAACGCGTATTAAGCACCTGCTGTGTGCCAGGCACCACGTGAAGCACTGAGGATGCAGAGAGGCAAAGAGCTTAGTCGAACGAGGGGACAACAGGTAAACAACTGTGTACAGAGCTGGTCACCTGCAGGATAAATAGGAGGCAATGATCAGGAGGGCCCTGGAGGAGAGGGGCTGGGGAAGGCTGCCTGGAGGAGGTGGAACAGAGGAGGGAGAGCACTCCAGACTTGGGGGACAGCTGGAGAGAATGCCAGAGGGTCTTGTGCCAAGGGTGCTAGATCCAAGAGGACATGGGGGGTGGGAGGTGTAAGAAGACTGAGAAGGGGGAGGGGGGCTGAATTACAAAAGGTTCTGGAGGCCAGACAGAGCGTTTCGTGATATGTTCGGACTTGCTTTGAATTACTTTGGTGGCCGGAGTGGAGTGGAGAGAGAGCGGATGCAGGCAGACGTCCTAGCAGGGATGTTGGACAATAGTCCACAGGTGAGGTCATGAGGTAGTGTCCGAGTTGAGAAGGGGGTGTATTTGAAAGATGTTATAGAGGGGCAGTGGACGGGCCTTGGCACCATCTTGGATAATGGGTGGAGAGAGAGAGTGATGATCCTGGAATGACTCGTAGGTTGGGAGCCTGGGGGACTGGGAGGAAGGTGGTACCCTGGACAGTTATGGACAAAGGTTTTGGGGGAAAGATCAGAGCTCTGTTCTGGACATGTTGAGTGTAAGATGTCTATGGGACTTCCAGTTGCAGATGTCTGAAAGGCTGTTGGAGATGCAAGGTTGGCACTCAGCAGAGAGATTGGGGCAGAAGGGGTAGATCTGAGAATTAACAGCAGAGAGGTGGTAATTAAATCCATGGGAGCTGAGGAGATCCCCGAGTGAAGTGATATAGAGGGAGGAGAGCAGAGGGCCCAGGACCTAGCCCTAACCCTAAATGTGCACCTGAGGGACCCCCATGGTTAGAGGGTGTGGTCTGGAGGAGGATTCAGCAAAGAAGACAAAGAAGGAATGTTCAGAGAACTGGGAGAGGGGAGTGTCCTGAAAACCTAGAGGAGAGAGGATCCAGGAGGAGAGAGTGACCGACAGTGTCCAAGGCTGCAGAGAGGTCAAGAACAATCAGGATGGAGTAAAGGCCATTGAATTTGGCCACTAAGAGATCCTGGGTCACTTTGGAGAGAGCAGTTTGGGTGGAATGAAGGGGCCAGAAGCCGGATTGTGAGATCATACCCTTTCCATCCCAGGGACTCTGAACCCCTGTGGGTTACCATCCAAACCGACGCCGTACCTCCTGATTCCTCATTCCCACCCCACGGTCTCAGCCCAGCTCTACCCAGCCGTTGCACTGTGCCCTCTGCAATGCTGTGCCATAAACAGACTTCCCTTCTTCTCAGATCTTCCCCCAGCCCTTCCATGGTCTGGCTCCCCCAGGGACACGACTTTCCTGGCCCCCCTCCAGAGCTGGCTGCATCGGCTCACCGGTGGAGGGGGAGAGTTGGAATCCTCCTTGCACCCCCATTACTGCTTTGAGATTCCCCCATTTCCTCCCTCGTTCAGTGGCCTCTCCTCCTCGGAGATTTCATCTGTTCACATCTACCACCCAATCAGTGCCCCCTTCCTTCCTCTATGAGTCCCGTCCCTGGCTCAGAACTTTTCTGTGCTCTCCAACTCCTGCCACAGAGTAGGGGTCGTCAGCGTACATATTGACTCTTTCTTAACTACTCTAACTCTTCAGTTCCCTGCCACGCTCACCTCCCGTGATCTACTCCTAAAAGCAGTCATAGCCTCAAAAAAGAAGTCAAAAGTGCCTTGTGTACACACTTAACTATTTACAAATGAAAACAGGCATCACCACAACACTAGTCTAAACTGTACCGGTTTGTATGTAAAAACCACACGTTTCCTACGTCACCAAGCCTCCCATTGTAGCACAGAAGTGACTTTAGCAGACAAGCATCAGTGAAGCGTGCTGCGTTTTCTAGAGTTTTCATTGGACAGTGCTGTAGATGGTCCCCCCCCCACCTCCCTGGGCCTGCCCCTACATTGTGACCTCCAATCCCCTGGCCCCTTGACCCTCCCAGGCCCTCTCCCCTGCGCTGGCCAATCTCTCCTCTTCTCCGCCCTTGACTCCTTGGTAACACTGCCCTCCTCTCTTGAATCCCTCGCCCCCTCAGCGTATCCCTGATTACACCCAGCTGAGCCTCAGCCTGGACAGCCCCCACCATCCCTCGCCTTTGTACCTTCATGCATGCAGCCCGACCCTGTGAGTGGCTGCCACGTGGTCCTGCTCAACCATCCATCCAGCTTGCTCTCCTTCTCCGCGGGGCATCTCTCCCTCAGCTCCCCGTCAGTGCCAAGGCACCGGCACGTGCTTGGCTTTCCCGGCAGCAGGCTGCCGTCTGTTTGATACTCGGTCTGTTTTTTCACCACGATAGAGGGCAGCAGAGCTGCCCTGCCTGCCCCTCGCCCACCACCACCAGCCCAGGCCTGGGCGCAGCAGGCCCAGGAGCCTTAGATTTGGGGCCGCTTTGACGCACTGTTGACTCACGGGAGATAGCCCTATCTCTCCATCTTCTACTTGTGAAATTGATTTTTTGAGTTTTAGGTGGGGACTGCCCCTTCCCCTTGTTCACTAGGGTCAGCATTGTAGCCCGTCATCTCGGGCTGTCTGGATTCCTCCCAAACACAGTACTTGCCGCGCCAGTCAGCATCCCTGGAGTTTATACCCACAGACCAGCACCAGGCAGATGTTCAGGCCGTGAATGGGGCTGGCCTTTAGAGGCCTTGCTTCCTGGCTTTAAAGACCTGCCTTTAAGTAAAACTGAAAGGGCGGCAGAAGAAGAAAAAGGGTCCCGTAAGCAGGCCCTGCATCGTGGACGGCTTCCTCGGTGCAGTGCGCGCCACCAGCTCTGACTTCGGGTACGCCTCGGAACTTCTCTCCTGTGGGCCCGCCTGAAGCTATGCGTCTTCCATTCCTTCAGCCGGCGCTCTAACAGCCCCAAACCGGTCGGCTTTCAGTGTGTCGCTGGCGAAAGGTGAAAAATAGGCCTTTTACAAACGGGCTTCTGAGCAAATCCTGAGAGGAGCCTGGGCGGCCTTACTGTGCGGGTGTTTGTGTTACTCAGGAGTTACCAGTTGTTCTTTTGCTCTTTAAAATGTCTGTTTTCTCCCTGACGAAGAGGAATACTTGGTCCCTCTCCTGATTACAGGCTCACGTCACTCCCATCCTATAGGGAGTGCCAAGGCCTTTCATGAGCCCTGGGCTGGGGCGCCAGGCTCCGAGGCCTCTTGTGTGAGGCCGAGCCAAGGGCATGGCCGATTTTCCAAAGTGAGACCTCACGTGCCTCGACAGTGTCTGGCTGTGGGCGCTCAGACGTGAGATAGACTGCTTCTCAAAGGGTCCACTGTGCTCAGGGTCCCACAGCATCCAGTTTACCCTCAGGGCCGATTGCTCTTTCTAGAAGATTGTTCTGAAAATGTCCCTGCTTGGATCCCATGGATAAACATGGCCTGAGTGAAGTTTGTGAGAAAGAGCCATGCTTGGGAAGCGCTCATAGCTGGCCATGGCAGGGGCCTGGAAGCCTCCCTGGGCTCGCCAAGGCTGCGTCAGGAGCTTCCTCTGCAGCAGG